TTATCTACTTAGTCAACGTCAACAGTTTCATGGATTTAGCATATTCTACCTTAGTGCTCAGGCTATACCCACCAACATGAAACATAACCATGACCATGGATGTTACCCTTACATGGCAGTTTATACATAGAAACATAAAATGAAGATGAAAACTGAGACTGAAAAATAACCCCATCTGAGCTTATGCATTCAGTCAGCATCAACATTCAACTCGTAAAGGATATGTTACGTGAACTCGAGCTTCAGGCTAGCATGCCAGTAAAAGAGTTCCGTAAGTTCAGTTCTTTTTGGCCTTATTGGGCAATCCCGCCATCTGCCATTCTCCTTGGAGGCGTCTCGGTGATACAGCAGCCGGCTCCTCAGGCACTTGTAATGGGAATAGTCTCCATTCTTTAAGAAGGCGCATGCCCACCTCCGGTTCGTTTGCAGTATAATTTCTCCTGTTTCCCCATATAAGGATCTTTGTAGGGTAACCCCACCGGTATTGTATATGATGATTCCTCAGCACCTTCGTCTTCATTATAAATTCCCTTAGACGATTCATAGTAAGCGCAGATAAATCCGTGTATAGCTGGATATCAGCATAGGGTCTGGTAACTTGGGACGTTTCCCTGCCGCAGTGAGCAATGTTTCCTTTGTTTTAAAACAGCATCTCTCGGTGTGTCCTGGGCAAGCCTCGGGGGCCTTGGTAAGCCTGTCCATGAGCCATTCTCCTATACCCAGATAGGGCATCTGCAGCCACGTTTTCCGGGATCCCCCTGAAGCGGACATTGTTTCTCCTCGAGCGGTCTTCAATGTCTGCCAATTTGCATTTGAGCTGTTGGTGATCCTCAGCTAGGTGGTGTACTGTGTCTGCCAAATCATTATGCTCTGTAAACATTTCTTCAGTGCAGGCCTCCAGGCAGTTCAGTCATTCTCCCCGATATCTGCAATCTACGCTTTATTTCACATCACCCATTTGAGATCTGATTGTAGCGTTACTCTAAACTCTTGCAGCATGGCATATAGCAGTTTTTTAGTTACCGGCGCATCGGTATATTGGTCAGCGTCTTGGTCCAGGTCAGGCTGGGTTTTAGATGCCTGTGATAGCGGCAGGCCTTTGTCTCCATCTTTGGAAGGCCTCATACGGTCTTTCTTAGTGAAATAAAGTGGGTCTGTGAGTTTTGTCTGCTTTGCTGGTGGCATCATGAGGAATGAGGCAAGGGGCTCACGTTACAAGCGATTGGGCAGTCTTTGCTACGATTTATCAGGCTTTTGGGTCAAACACATTTCTATGTCTTAGCTTAACCGAGGGACTAGTTTATTTAGCTATATATATGTTGTCCGGCTAAAATAGAGGGATTGTGGGTTGGAATCCTAGTCTGCTATAATTATGTATTATATCCTATGCTAAGGGTTAGTTTCTTACGCACAATTCCATTTTCTGCAGTTTTTTTTTTACTACAGAGTACTCTGAATTCTCTACTACAGGGGTAGGCAACCTACGGCACTAGTGCCATGCACGGCACTCAAGGTGTCTTTGCACGGCACTCAAGGCTGCTAGAGCCAAACAGGCTCTGGCCTATCAGGAGTCCCAGTGAAACTTCAGATATCTGCTAATACGAAAAGGTGGTGAAGGACAATCTTCAATTTAAGCATTGCTGCATGTTTAGGAAGTGATCTCAGATAACTATCTCATGTCATTTCCACCCAGCACCTGTAAATAAGGTGCAGCTCCTGTCCTTGACCTATACCTGGCCAGCCTGGCCCCCACTGGAACCCAGGGAAGCCACCCTCACTGCTAGATTTACACAGAAATGCACACTAACCCTCCCCTCATACAAATAATACGAACAGCCCACAAGCAAACATACACACAATCCTCACAAACGTAACCCGCTAACAATCCACATACATGCACACAACCCCACATGCAGCCTCTCATATGCAATACCCCAAACAGCCCCCACACATACACACACTACCAAACACACAATGTGACATATCCATCCACACACACAATTCCACAAGCAGCCCCCATACACAGCCCACATTCATAGGTATCATACACGATACCACAAACTACTAATGAACATATACAATATAATAGCTTATATACACACAAATATAAAGATACAAAGTAATTACAGTATAAATAACACAAGCAGAAAACGGCAGCATACAGACCTCAATTTAAAAAAAAAAATAGGACGGGCACGCTATAGGACATCACAATCCTATATCGGCACAGTGCTGCTAAAAGGTTGCCTACCCCTGCTCTACTACATACCTTTTTTCTCTGTCTTTAGTTTACCAACACAGCATATTCTGTATATTTTACTCAAATGGATATTTATTTTGATACAATTCTTGCAACACAGAGTGTCACTTAGTTAATAGAAGTAACGATTTGGCTACATCACTTTAATTGACTCCAGTTTGGACTCTACATTTGTGACATCTGTTATGCATTTAGTCCTGGTTACCTTATTCCTAGTAATATAGCTTTACCCTATAAGAGATATTTAGTAGACATACCCTAACCTTCTACCATAACATTTAATGAAAGATTTTCCCTAACACTGGTATAGGTTCTGGGAGGGTATTGTCTTTCATTTTAACTATTCTCAGTTTATTTAGATTGCCTGAAGTTGTCATATTAGGATTTTCATTTTTTTCACTTTATTATTGTTATATGCTCTATTTCTAATAAAAGGGTTATCCAACGATCTCTGGAATATGTTTTGCATTTAAATTAGTGTCAGGCCCTTATTAGTTGGGTATTCCCCTGTGAGACCTTTTTCCTTTTCCTTTTCATTTTTCATTTGGGTCATATAGGACTGGGAGCTCTCACTCCATGCGTCCGTTCACCTCGGCAGTTAGCCATGCCCCCCACACCAACTAGAATTTGTGACTCTCGCGCAACCCCTTGTTCAAGCCAGGGATGCATTATCATAACTATAGAAACTACTACTCCCACACCTACCTCACTCAGAGAGATGCTAACCGACTCAGGAATTAAACCACTTTCCTCCATAAAATCCACAAGCACAAACACAGTCCTGGAAAAAATGTCATTATGGTCAACTCATGCATTTCATTAGCTCTATCTGCAAACCAATTGCAAACAGACACGATCTTTCTAACTTTAAGAAACTTTGCACAAGGCAAAGCATTACAAAAGATCATCTTTTTATTTCTATTATCTACTTCAAACATTGACCCAGATAGGACTATCCATATACACGACAAAGTGGGCCCAGGAACTACAAATCACATTTTCCCCCTCAGACTGGAAATGTATTTTCCAATTTATTCATGGATCCTCTCTGAATGTTACTACACAAAAAAGCAATTAAAAACGAGTCTCCAGATTGCATTTCTACTTCAGATTTTTCCCAAGTCAGGGGACACATGCTTGAGATACCACAACCATAATTGCACCTCCTCATATGTGTGGTGGCAATGCCCTGTAGTGAATAAGTTTTGGAAACGCATCACGGCTTCTGTTCGAGCCATCACAGCAACAACCTCCCATTCGAACCTGCCACTTTAATTCTATACCTTTTTTCCTGCTCCTTGCTCAGTTTCAAAGCCTCACTGACCAAACACCCTTCGGACAGCAGCAAACCAACTCATGCCTCAGTTATAGAAAAGCAAAACTACCCATGTTTAGGGACTGGATTCCATACATGTAATGGAAGAGTTTTGCCACTCCCAAACTCACAGACATTTTATCTGCACATGGGAACCCTGGGTATCATTCCTCCAGGGCCACACACACTAAGACTAGGACTCCTACTTCCCTCATTCTTGATACAATATACTATTGACTAAGAACTTACCACACAAAATGTATCATGCTACAGTGCCACTGGAAGTGGCAGCAAAGTTAATGTGGAGCTAGTGGTCAAATTTGTGGACATGCAGCTTCAGATTCTTCTGCAACTTTGGAATTGGAGTCACCAATTGCAGCAGAAAAAGGGTTAAATAGTGAATCAAATGTAATGTACATGCCAGTACCACCATCCTGCGGCTGAATACTACTAATAGTGGTGGTATTTCTGATGACGGTAGTGGTGGTGGTGGTGGCAGGAGTGTTAAAAAAGGCAATGGCACTAGTGCTGATGGTGGATTTGGGAACATGTCTCCTACCATTCATTTTTGGATTAGAATTTACTGTTGATGATGGCGGGTTTTCTCTTAGTATTGAAATAAATTGGGATATGAATATATATTGTGTAAAGTAACACAACTTTATTAATCCCAAATAGATGTTTGTATTGTATTTACTAATACTGTAACATTAATGTCTGTACAGGGTTGTATTTCCAACGCTTTAATGTGCCTTTAAGAAACACCATACTGCACAATGTTCACACGCCTGTACTGCACACACTGGACTGGACACACTCCCCACAAAAATCTAACATATTTTATCTCTACAAGTGGTTAACCAAAGTGACCTGTCATATTTGAAATCAGTTAATCAAACTTGGTGTAAATGGCACTGGCAGTGGTACAGCATGAACCTAACCATCAGCCTCATATTAGACTCAGTTAAACTATTAATAGACAAATCAAAGTTTATGCATGCAAGTGCCATTGGCAGGGTCTGGGAACTGCTGTAACCTAGCCAGTCTAACACTAGGATCAATGACACAGAGGCTGGTGTAAGTGATACTGGCAGTAGATAGGCAAAAGGAGCAGCAAATTGTAGTGAACTCAAAACTAAACTGCAAGTTGTTACCTTGTTCATCATAGCAAGCTGTTTACATGCCCTCACTTGAAAAAAACGAAACAAAAAAAAAACAGCTTTCTCTCCATTCTGTCTCCTGTTTTCAGTACCGGGCAGAATCCTGAAGTGTCCAAACATCCAAGTATCCAAGCAATGTCCAAGCATCATCTAGTCGCATGCACGGTTGTATGCAGTGCACTGAGGCCCTGCCTACACAACAACGCGCAGGAATAAAAATTTAAATTTTACCACATGACAGGAGGCTTCATATTTGCATATCTTTCTTTACTGAAAACTCCAGCAGCATAGAAACAGTAACAACCAATCAGAAAAAAGATATGGTGCCCATAAAAGGCCCTGTCTATGACATCACTTCCTCTTTCTTTGCTGCTCCAGCCATATACAGGTCAGAGTAATTTTACCTCTAGTATACCTTATGTATTGCTGTATTTTTTATTGTGTTTTTATTGTACTACTTTAACCCCTGACTGCCTATACTGTCCCCCCTACTCTTTAGTATTTCCCCTCTGTGTCTCTGTTCTGCTGCGTTATTTTCCTCCTTATTTCTCTTTCGGCGGCCCGCGGGCGGCGCGGCCGTTGGTGCCACGCTCACCACGCGGACCCGCTTTTTCTCCACACACAGGGGCTGTTGGGGACGGGTGGAGGGTAGCCGGGGTTTAATTTTTAGTTTGCCGCGTTTTTCTTCACCTCGCTCGCGGCCGCGAGCGAGACACCTCTATCCACGCGGCCGGCGGCCATCTTGGATCTCGCGGCTCGCGAGATCCGCGACGGCCGCCTCACCCTCACACACGGCGGTTCGGGATTCACCCGATCGCCGCCACGATACCGGGGAGTGCCCTCAGGGTGACCCCCCAGCTGCTCACAAGTGCCATCATATTTTTTATGCTACACCCTTCAAGGGTGTGTTTTTTCCTACACTGTATTTATGCCTCAGTGAGGCAGAGAAATTGCATGCACAGGAAATGTATTATGAAGTTGACTATTAAAGGCTCTTTATCAATTGTACAGATTGACTCACTGTCCCTTGCTGGGACATATACATTCATACCCCACAGGGGATCTGACATTACTTTACCCTCAGGGGTATGCTATATTAATTACCCTACACAGGGTCATATTACACGACTGTACCTAAGGGTGCAAATTTATGTGGGTGTCCTCTGGGTATTTTTTCATGGCACACCACCTGGGGTGACCCCCCAGATACGCATGCAAGGGCGCTGACGACCCAATTTAATTGATGTGGGTGTCCTCTGATTGCCACGGCACACCACCCGGGGCGAACCCCGTTGATATGCACAAGGGCCCATACCTCCTAGGTACTGAGATACGCATATTGCCCTGAATCATATATTACGTGCATATAGAGCCTTTTAAACATACGCAGAGTCAATCTATATCTGTACGTGGCTCCCCTCCACTGAACCTTGTTTTCGCCCGGCAGGTCGATACAAGCCCCAGATCATGGAAGATACTCAAAGCACCCAAGACTTCCAAACCATGATCAACGCCGCCGTGGCGGCTTCAGTAGAAAAGGCCCTCTTGCGGGCGCTACCCCACGGCCAAGATGACACAAACCCCCCTGAACGCATGGAAGCTTCAGGCTCTGAGGTGTCAAAGGCCAAGAGACAGAGGAAGGTTTTGAGTCCTCCCTCCACCAAGACTAGGGGCAAGTTGTCCGTCAAGCGCATTAGGAACGCGGACCGACAACCCACGTCCTTCCCGCCTCAATCCTCGGACGAGGACGAGGCCTACGTGCCGCAGGCACTGGATGTGGTGGACGAGTGGCACGGGGACGGCTCGCCCTCAGACGACGAGGAATGGCAAGACCTCCCCCCCACCTCTTCAAAGTATGTCAAGGAGACCTTTCTCGGCAACCGGGCCAAGGAACTCGATGACGACCTTCACACCGGCCAGTCTGAAGACGGGGTCTTCTTGGACGACCAAGGGACACCGCTGTTCGACCCGCGCACCATCCGACACCCACGGTCCTCGGAATGGACACTGCCAGATCACCTGGCGAAGTTCATACATTACTGGCAAACCGCTGGAGAAGGAGGTACGGGCGTGCCTCAGGACTGAATGTCCCAGGCCGCTAATTCCCGACAAGGTGGCGCTGACGCCCGAATTCGACGACACTATGGTGGTCTTCATGTCACGCACGGGCAGGGACCCACGCAAAGGGGCGGAAAAGGGCATGAAAGCGGCACAGGACAAAGTGCTGGACTTGCTCGGCCCCATTGCCAAGATGCTATACTTCGCGGACCTCGCTCTCAGCCAAGTCTACTGGGCAATGCTAACGCCGCACTTTGTGTCGAAAGGCGCAGATCGGCACTAATACGTATTGACAGCAAGCTCCTGGACCTTGGGGCTAAAGAATTCGGACCAAAAGCTCATGGCCTACTTTTTGGCGATGCCTTCATCGCGGAACTTAAAAGGCACGTGAACCTATTCACGACCCTGAACAAGGCTCAAACCTCTCTCTCAAACAGGTGTTCCACACCCCATCCACAAGAGGTGTTTTTGGAAGGGCTGGTCGACAACGGAACCGTGCCACCAGCCGTTTTTTGGGCCTCAGGTTCCAGACCTTTCCCACAAGCCCCAAATTTCTTCCCGTCTACGGCGCAAAGGCCTTCATCGTTCAGAGGAACGGGGAGATCCAGAGGCTTCAGAGGCCGTGGTAGCGGCCGCTCCTCCAATGGTGAGTCCACCTATATACACAAAGGCATCAAAATTTATTGCAGGCAACCTTTCCTTTTTCTTCCAGAACTGGGAACTGATTACCAAAGACGCCTGGGTCCTCCAGACGGTTCGGGGTTTCGTCATAGACTTCGCCACCCGACCCATTCAAAACGCTCCCCCTCCCCCAATCCACATGTCAGCAGGACAAAACCACCTAATAGACGAAGAGGTCCGCGCCCTCTTCGAGAAAGGAGCGATACAATACGCACCGGACGGGGGAGGCTTTCTAAGCAACATTTTCTTGGTCAAGAAGAAGACGGGCGAATTCAGGCCGGTTATCAACCTCCGACAGTTAAACTCATTCGTAATCTACAGACACTTCAAGATGGAAGGAATCCACCTTCTACAAGACCTTCTCATCAAGAACGACTGGTTTACTCGCCTGGACCTCAAAGATGCATATTTATCCGTCCCAGTGGACGTCCAATGCAGGCAATTCCTCCGTTTCCGATGGAAAGGACGGATATGCCAATTTACCTGCCTGCCATTCGGCCTCAGCTCAGCTCCGTGGTGCTTCACGAAGCTGCTGAGACCAGTGATGGCTCACATCCGAACGAGGGGCATACGCTGCCTCGTTTACTTGGACGATTTGCTAATCTTTTGCGAATCCGCATCCAGGCTGCGATCACAGACGAAATTTGTCGTTCACTCGCTAGAATCCCTGGGTTTCGTAGTGAACAGACAGAAGTCGTCTCTCTCTCCCTCCCAGTCGGTCCAATTCCTGGGGTTCGACATAGATTCGAAGGAATGTGTACTACGCCTTCCATCGAAAAAGATAGCTTCAATAAGGAAGGAAATCAGACGGGTCCTGAAGATGGACACAATACCGCTCAGGATGCTCGCCCGAATCGTGGGACTCCTTTCCTCCTCCATACAAGCGATATTCCCGGGCCCTCTACACTACAGGGCCATGCAACGGCTGAAAGCAGAATATCTGCGCACCGGACACTCCTACGACCACTGGATCCCACTCTCGTCGGAAGTGAGGTCGGAACTACGATGGTGGTTACTACATATACAAGCCTGGAACGGCAAAGCGATCTTCGGCCCTTCGCCGGACTTCATAGTGGAATCGGACGCCAGCCTGTGGGGATGGGGCGCTCATTGCACGGACGCCTCCACGGGAGGCCCATGGCAGGAGGAGGAGACCAGCCTACACATCAACTGCTTGGAACTGATCGCGGGATCCTTCGCCATCCGCAGCCTGGCCAAAGACAGGTCGAATTGCTGTATCCTGCTCCGCATGGACAATGTCTCAGCGGTACAATACATCAACCGCCTGGGCGGAGCGAGGTCAAAGGACCTGACGGAAGCCACGAAAGACATCTACAGTTTCTGCCTACAGAGAAACATCACGCTGCAAGCAGAATACCTCCCAGGTATCTCCAACCTGACGGCGGATTGGTTCTCACGCCACTGGAGAGACACCAGCGACTGGAAACTCAACAGGGAGATATTTCAGACGCTACGTCAGCGGTTGGGCCCTCTAACAATAGACTTGTTCGCCTCCAGGACCAACCACCAACTACCAAGGTACTACAGTTGGCTTCCGGATCCGAAGGGCGAAGCAGCGGATGCATTCCTGCAGGACTGGCCCCCCCTTGGGGCCTATGCTTTCCCTCCGTTCTCACTGATCCCAAGGGTACTGCGATACTCCCGCACTCACAGGATATCGCTCCTGCTCATAACACCACTTTGGCAGAGCCAACCATGGTTTCCGGACCTCCTGGAGATGTCGCACGACCATCCCCTTCGGCTCCCGACCTACCCGTTGCTCCTGTCGGGACCTCGGGGGGAACCCCATCCCCTCGTCCTGGAAGGACAACTAGAACTGGTGGCCTGGACGATTTCAGGGGCTCCTGGTCGGTCCATGGCCTATCGCAACCTACTAAAGACCTCCTATGGGACTCATGGGCCCCCGGCACCAGGAGATGTTACATATCCGCCTGGTCGGCCTGGAGTGCTTGGTGCATGGAAAGGGATTCCGATCCCTTTACTGCCTCTGTCCCACTGATCCTCAACTATCTCGCTCATCTGTTCTCGACGGGTCGATCATATAGATCCCTTAACGTGATCAGATCGGCTATTTCAGCGGCACACGTCCCAGTACAAGGCAGGCCAGTGGGTCAAGATCCTCTGGTATGCCGTCTACTGCGAGGTGCCAAACTTACTAGACCCCCTGCACCCAAATACTCCAACCTCTGGCAGGTGAATGGGGTGCTGGATTTCCTGCGGGGCTGGCCAGACAACCCCGTTCTATCGCTGAAACAGCTTTCAGCGAAACTGGCCTTTTTGTTATGCCTCGTCTCATTTCGACGGGTGTCAGACGTTAGGGCCTTTGACGTGGACGGTTTCTCTCTCACTCCGGAGGGGGTCACCTTCTCCATTTCTAGACGGACTAAATCAGACTCGTCCTCAGTGTCTTATCCATACTTCGAATCGGACCCCAAGCTGTGCGTTGTCAGGACATTTCTGAGGTATACGGAAGTCACAGCCAACCTTCGGCTCACCCCGACGGGTCAGTTGCTGATCTCCTACGTAAGACCTCACGCTCCGGTGTCTACAACAACCCTGGCCAGATGGGTACGCTGGCTACTGAGGCTAGCAGGTATCGAACCTAGCTTCGGAGCACATTCGGTCAGGGGTGCGGCAGCATCCCAAGCCTTCTTGGCAGGCGCATCCCTACCCGACATTATGCGTTGCGCTGACTGGACTCGGGAGAGTACGTTTAGGACTTTTTATTTATTTTCGTCAATCCTCTCACGCCTCCTTCACACTAGTCAATTCTAAGCTTTAAAAATGCAAATATGAAGCCTCCTGTCATGTGGTAAAATTGAAGATTATATTAGCTTTTAGTGTACTAATAATCTTAATTTTAGTAATGACAGGAGGCGAATATTTCCCACCCTATGGGATCCCTCCCTAGTTATCTCGTGTTATATAGTGTATGTTCTAGTGTTCAGGATAGCATGCATGTTAGGATTGTATTACTGCTTAGACATGTAGCTGTCTCTAGTACGAAATTGTTGGATTCGTGATCATGTACATTGTATTAATTTTGTTTTACTTATTGAATGTTTTAACTTGTGGTTTTCATACAGTGTTGATAGTTATCACAGTCTGTATCCATTAGAATGGTCAGGTTACTTATGTTTGTTGCATGCGGACAGGTTTCCACTTCAGAGACCTCTCACCCTTTTCTTTTTATTTCAGCGTGAACGTCTTCCCTTCGGGACAAGAACTCGCCTTCTCATACCGTTACACCATGGA